AAGATCTGGCTTTAGATGTTAACCGGGAACTAGATTCTTTTACTCTGGCCTCGCACGAAGAAAGTCAGCCTTGTCACTGATCTGGCTGTCGGTTATGGCTACAGCCGTCACGACATTCCAATGGTTCTTTTGGGGTTACTCCTTGACGTTCTCCCATACTGCCGGACCCTACATTGGCGACCTCGCGAATTTCGGCTTCAAGGATGTGCTTGCGCAGACATCTGTGGGTTCTGCTCGCATCCCTGATCTCTTGTTCGCTGTGTATCAGGGTATGTTCTCAGCCATCACTGTCGCACTAGCCACCGGAGCTGTGGCTGAGCGTGGCCGCATGCTCCCATGCGTCATCTTCATGTTCATTTGGGCGACCATCATCTACGACCCGATTGCCTGCTGGACTTGGAACCCGTCTGGCTGGTCGAACAAGATGGGTGGGCTTGACTTTGCCGGTGGTACCCCGGTGCATATTGCTTCTGGATCAGCTGCTCTAGCTTACTCCATGATGTTGGGCAAGCGCCGAGGACATGGCACTCATGAGCTGAACTATCGTCCGCATAATGTCACCCACATCGTCATCGGAACAGTGTTTCTCTGGGTGGGATGGTTCGGTTTCAACGCCGGTTCAGCTCTTTCAGCTAACATGCGCGCCATCATGGCTGCGGTGGTCACCAACCTCGCTGCTTGCGTTGGCGGCATTACCTGGTGTGTTTTGGATTACAGACTGGAGCGCAAATGGTCGACTGTTGGCTTCTGCTCTGGTGTCATTGCTGGGCTCGTTGCTATTACCCCTGGCTCAGGTAAGATTCTCGGCATCTCGCGATCACACACTGTCACTGACATCGCATAGGTTATGTCCCTGCGTGGGCAGCCGTGCCCTATGGTGTCCTTGGTGCCGCCTTCGCCAACTATGGCACGAAGCTCAAGTTTCTCCTCCGCATTGACGATGCACTTGATATCTTCGCTGTCCATGCCATTGGTGGTCTCGTCGGAAACATTTGCACAGCCTTCTTTGCGGCTGACTACATTGCCCACCTGGACAACGTGCAGGTGATTGCTGGCGGTTGGTTGAACCACCATTGGGTCCAATTGGGATACCAGGTGGCCGACTCAGTCGCTGGCGGCACGTACTCTTTCGTGGGAACGTGTCTTATCCTCTTCATCATGAACTTGATTCCTGGGCTGCGCCTTCGTGCAACAGAAGAGGCCGAAATTCTGGGCATTGATGATGCCGAGATTGGCGAGTTTGGTAAGTCGTGATGTCTACATCTGTTGCGTTCTCAAGCTGACCATCGATTGTAGCCTATGACTATGTCGAGCTCACCCGAGAAGTGCTGAACGACGTCGAGAATGACGCGGGCAGCCGGTTCTCCGGGGAAGAGCGGGGCTTTGAGGCAAGAGAAAAGAACAACGGCATTCCGCTGATGGACGCACGCATGTTCGCCGGAGGGCAATCGTCATCTCACCAGTAAGCGCCTTTAGCACTTCCGATGGATGGACGGCGAACAAGCCCTCTCCGACATCCCTCCTTTCCCTTTGTTCGTATACTGAGGTGAGCCTGGCAAAGATTTTCAAGTGGCGCCAGCACGAGTTCTCTTTTGGAGCCGGCAGAAAGACGATAGAGAACAACCCCCCCAATAGAGAGATACCACACCTGGCTGGCCGGGCTCCCCTCGAATCGAGACCAAACACGATCGTTACAGTACTATCTCAAGTCACTTGACCTACTCTTCGGGTGGGTGAGCTCGGCGGAGGAGCTACGTGCGCCGTCGAGGGAGAACAAGAAGAAGACAATGTGTAAAGAGACGGGAATCATGAGATTATGATCTGGGCAAGGACCTTCAAAGACTTGGATAATGTATATTACTCTGTAAACCATAAAGCGACCAGTCGACTTGCAGAGATACCAATTTATGTTTATATATACCGATTATCGCATCACAGCAGAAATCCTGGAAATCGATGAAGTTGATTGTCGCGAAATGTTGCAAGGGGGACAGCCATCTGGCCCCTGCCCTGGCAGGGCAGCAAGCCGCCCGATTGGCCGGTTCTGAGCTAGCTGTCAGGTGGGCACTTGCAGGTACGTCGATCCACTGACTGACGTGCCTAATCTCATGCACGCAATTATCAGATGAAGCCTGGATCACCTACCTAGGTACCCAGGTAGGCCTGAAACCCCACAATACTGTACTATATTTGCATTTTTGGCGCCAAACGACCGGCCGTCAAGTTTAGTCTTCGAGATGGCCAGGCAACTGTGCGCAAGACAGAAGATTCGAAGTTTAGCATCATGATTCAAGACCGCATAAATACAGTCATCACTTCCGTGTCTTGCACGCTCCTTGGCGCATGGGCATATTCCAAGGTATTTTATCAACATGACTGACCTGTCAGATGAGCCTACGCTCAGAGACAAGGTCCGTTTCTTCAAACAACTGGATGCTCTGCGTCATGATTCAGAGGATAGTGACGGCGACACGATTCCTGAGCGAGAGGCGGAACTTCGTCTGAAAGGTCGCGCGTTCTTTTCTGGCGAAATTGCTTCAACTTGCTCAACGCAATTGACACAATCAACACAGGCATCACAGCCCAACAATGGAGAGCATCCCGGTGAGCCAAAACGTACCTCCTCTGCGCCAACACCAAAAAGAAGCTCCATCACCATCGAAAGAACGCCTCAGACAGGAACCGGTGGGGTAGTCAGAAATCGGAGGCTCGTTAACATAGTAGCCGATGGCTCTTTCATCGAGGAAACACCAAACCAGGATCTGAGCCGCCTAGCACAGTTAAAGAGGAGCACTACTGCCCCTACACCAACATCTCCGTCGGTCCAAGCCGTTCAGGATCAAACATCGTCTCTCAAGTCCACGATGGGCAAACGAAAGCGGAACTCTGCCGAGAAGATAATGCCGGAGTCCGAACAGATATTCAGGGGCCTCTCATTCTTCTACGTGCCCAACAGCGATGTCGGCGGCGTTCGAAAGTTGCGCATTGCGAAAGCGCAAAACTACGGTGCTCGATGGACAAGGAATATCGCAGATGCGACACATGTCATTGTTGATAAGCCATTGAGATACGCGGATCTTGAGCCTGTGCTAGGGCCAGTCAAGGGTGATGATTCGCTTACTCTGGTATCTGAGGAGTACCCGCTGGACTGCATTCAATTTCGCCGCCTCTTGAATGCAAACCAATTCCGTTATCAGATACCCGGCTGCCCCAAGACGCCGTCAGCGGAGAAAGATGCAGTTCCAGGACCGCCAGCATCATCGCAGAAGTCAGACAAGTCTCTAGAGTTGAAGGCCCGACAGACGAATCCGTCCAAGTGGGATTACGTTCCACCTCAGGGCACACCATCTCGAAGCGAGGAGTCTTCTCATCCAAGTCAGAGAAGGAGCTCTCCGCAACACCGCTCACCTTCTGAATCGTCACCTGGTGTATGGCTTGCTCAAGACAGGGTTGTTCGGTCTCTTTCTCCCGTTGTCCCGAGAAGCAATGACGACGCCCTTGAGGAAGTAGAGCCTCCGCAGTCACAGGAACACCAATACCAGCTGGAGCCACCATCCAAGGACGAGCTCTCGGATTTGATCGAGATTGCGCAACAGTATAAGGATCTGCCTTTGGACGAAGAGGATGACCAGCGGTCTGCTGAGGACGACAACGACGCCGCGGAGAGCGGATCAGGTTCTGATGGGGAGCATGCTCGGAAGAAGCTCAAGAAAAATCGAACGAGATCTGGACGTAAGGATATAGCATTTGAGGAGCGGTTCGCCTGCTACCAGGGAGGCACAAAAGACAAGGCGGCCCAAAGTGCGAATCCTAATGCTAGTACCATCGAAGTCTTGCAAAAAATGCTCGACTATTACGACTGCGTCAATGACAACTGGCGAATTCTTGCGTACAGAAAAGCAATTGCCACTTTACGGCGTCAACCTGTTAAGATTACTACCGCTGCCGAAGCAGAACTGTTGCCTGGTATTGGCTCACGGTTGAGTCAGAAGATTGAAGAGATTGTCAACACAAACGGCCTTAAACGGTTAGAGTACGCTGAGAAGGAACCTATGAACGAGGTCCTGCAGCATTTCCTGAAGATATACGACGTAGGCTTGAGTACAGCCAACAAATGGATCGCACAAGGCCACAAGACGCTGGACGACCTTCTCCAGAAGGCCAACTTAACGACGAACCAACGCCTAGGTATTGAGCACTACGATGATCTGAATAGCCGCATCCCGCGCAGTGAAGTCACGGCACTGGGAGAGTATGTGAAGAAGGCTGCGAGCAGACTGGACCCTCAAGTTGAGCTACTTATCGGAGGCAGTTATCGCAGGGGTTCGGACAGTTCTGGGGACATCGATTTTATCGTGACGAAAAAGGGGACAACGTCTAGCAACGACCTCGTCCCCTTCCTGCAAAAGCTACTAAGTGTGCTTGAGAAGGATGGGTTTATCGTCGCCACGCTAGCAGCATTGAATGCGCATCGATCGAGCAGGGAAGACCCAGGAAGCAAATGGCATGGATGCTGTGCTTTGCCACATAGCCCTGGCAGCTCAAATGGCAGCAATGCCAATCAGCGTGTGTGGCGTCGTATTGATTTCCTCCTGGTGCCAGAGACTGAGTACGGAGCAGCTCTCATCTACTTCACAGGCAACGACATCTTCAACAGAAGTATCCGGCTACTTGCCTCGAAAAAGGGAATGAGGCTCAACCAGCGTGGACTGTTCAAAGATGTCATGAGAGGGCCAGCAAGGCAGAAGATCACCGAAGGGGACCTGGTGGAGGGAAGGAACGAGAAGAGGATATTTGAGATCCTTGGAGTGAGGTGGAGAGAGCCATCACAACGATGGTGTTGAAGTTGCATATGATACCCCTGGATTGGAGCATAGCATTGACTCTAGGTTTGGAAAGAAAGATTAGCTTCTGGATTGCTGATCCCGAATCTCAGAGTTTGATAATCGATTAAGTGCGGTGATGATGCGGAAAATAAAATGTCCAACGTTATTACGATAACTTCACAACAGGTGGTGATTGTCTTGTCAAAAAACTATGATGTTCTTGACCAAGTTATGTTTATGTTTATTATCCTGTGGAGAATTAGGTCGGCACAGAGTAGTCAGACTGTGAAACGTACCTAGGTACCATGTGTACACCTCCGCCAGGGTAAT